ACTTGAAAACATTTTTTGTCTATTTCTGAAAGCCAGGAAGTAGTTTGCCCAAGAGCTCATAATTTGGAATGTAATGTTGCCGCTTCCATGGGAGCGCTATTAATGTTTGTTTATTTTTGCTTTTTAAGATTTGACAGTTGATACTTGTATCCAGAAAGTTACCCTAACTTTTGTAGGAACAAGATTTAAAACAAGAAACCTTCTCTCATATATTGTTTTCATAGGAAAATCCAACTTTAGGAAAAATGAAGGTTATAATCGTAATGATAAAAATCTTAAACTTTATATATTTTGTGGAACTTCAGCAAAAATGTATTTGCATGTAAAATTTCTGTAGATTATTATGGCAAAAACAGCAGGCGGTCCAAAAGCCCCTAAGCAACAAGGACATTGGGATAAGGATGACTGGAAAGATGAGCCTGAAAAATAGTATGCAGTAAGCTCTGTTTCTCTAGCAGAGAGGTATATGTGTGTGTGAGTGCATGCATGAGTATATTGACAAGCACATGGTAGATGGTATCTTTCTTGAGGACACAACGCTGCTGTCTTACATGTGCCGATTGCTGCATTTTGTATTTGTGCCTTTGCGAGTGAATTTTACTCCTAAACCCACACTTTCACTGAAGGGATGACAAGTGCAGTTTTAGTTTTACCTTAACTTTTCACTATAGCAAGTGCAGAAAACGAGCCTTTAACATGGTAGGACTTGTGCTTTTAAAGTGTGATGTTTAGACTCAGTAACTCAGAACAATAGCTCTGATAATTCTGCTGCTTTCTGTAGTGTGCATCCTGTAAACCAGTCACTCATTAGCCTAGTTAAGCACTCACTTTCTGCGGACTAACTGAAGTCTTAATTTGCATGCAAAAATGAGGTAAAAGCCCTTGTTTTTTGTATATCAGGGCTCAGCTTCTGCTGTTTTCAAGAAAAAAAGAACTGATTTGTGAACATCTCAATTAGGTGGATAATACTCACCGGCTCAGGTTCAGAGTAGATAAACTGCATGAATTTAGTGAATGTTGACAGCGTTATATGGCTATAAGTAAGGGTCTGAGTCTAACCTTATCTTTTTCTATTTCCCTGTTACCTTCAAGATCATCATGGCAAAGCCAGCTGGTGGCCCTAAACCTCCATCAGGAAAGAAAGACTGGGATGAAGACCAAAATGATTGAACAGTTTAACTGTACTTGTTAAGTGACATGATTACGAGTTTTTTAATACTCCAGGTGGAGCCTGTCATCATATTTTGCTCTGTTGCCTTTAAGTTATGAACTGTGTCCAAGGGAGTGCAGAACTTTGACCACTTCAATAAACAGTAGTCACTGTTAAAATGTTAACTGCCATTTTATTGGGACTTACTATGGCGCGGTTGTTCCCAACAGGTGAATAGGCAGGCGGGGGCGTGGGGATGGAGGTGTGTGGCTGTGGTGGGTGGACCATGGCTGGCTGCCAGACGCCCCTTCCTCACCAGGGCAGAGGCGGAAAGTAAGCAGAAAAAGCTCGTGGGTTGATATAAAGACGGGGAGGTCACTTACCAATTACTGTCTCGGGCAAAAGGGAATCCACATGTGGAAAATTAATTTATTACCAATGAAAAATAGAGTCGGAGGGTGAGAAATAAGAACAGGAACTAAAACACCTTCCTGTTCACCCCCCCTTTTTCCCAGGCTCAGCTGTACTCCTTTGCTCCTGGCCCCTCTCCATCTTCCCACCCCACCTGAGTGGTAGGAGGGATGGGGAGTGGGGGCTGGTGTCAGTCTCTTAACTGCTCCTCTCTGCTCCTTCCTCCTGTGCAAGTGTTTCCCCTCCTCCCCTCCCAGAGGGCACAGTCCTTTCTGAGCTGCTTCATCCTGGGCAGCCTCTGGATGGGTTATAGTCCCTCAGGAATAACTGTTCCTGCCCTGGTCCTCTGTGTCTGGCAGGAAAACCTGCCCCAGCCTGGGCTCCTCTGCAGGCTGCAGCTCCTTCCAAGGCACACAGCCACCTACTGTGGCCTGGGGGCCTCCACAACTGCAGCATGGAGGTCCAGCATGGTCTGGCTCTCCATGAGCTGCAGGGTGACAACCTGCTCCAGGGGCTGGAGGGGATCCGTGCTCAGGTGCCAGGGGCTGTTCCTCCTCTCATGTGGGTGCCCACAGGGCTGTTTCTCACACTTTTCCTCTCACCACTGGGCAGCATTTGGGCCTTACTCAGGCTTTCCTCAGGGTGCCACTACCTTGGCTGAAAGGCCATGGCCTGCAGTGGGTCCCTTGGAGCTGGTGGTGTCCAGCATAAGGCACCCCCAGCCTCTCCTCACACAGGCCTCAGCTGCAGCTTGCCCCACCATTTTGGCACGTGCACCCAGTACAGTGGGTGAGGGAGACTGACCATGAGCCTACTGCAGGGAGTTAGTTACAAACTTCAGGAAAGCATCATCTATTTCACCCTCACCCTTTAAGAGTCTCCATGTTCTCAAAATGGCAGCCTGATGGCAGCAAACTGTATCCCAGCCATATGGCCTTAAAAATAAATGCTGAGCAGCAATAGCTAGGATGATGCAGAGCAGTAGAATCTTTTGACTGAAGCCCCCTGTTAATATTCTTCTTGGAAAGTAAACAGCTTGAAAGGAGAACTGCACTTGAAACTCAAGCCACTTCAATAATTAATCCTTTTATTACTCTTGCCAGTGCTACTCTATTTCACAGCCAGAAGGGCGTGGAAGGCTAAATCAAGTCTGGAACTATCTTTATGCCTAAATAAGGCTGTCGTACAACAGCTATGCTAATGCTTGCTTTATAGTCAGTTGCTGGTGTGGCTGAAAAATAAACTCAGCAAGTTTTCCAAAGGATTGGCATACTGATATAGTCAGCTGCACAAGTGCTACTGCTGATGCCTGTAAGGGTAACAGGAATATGCAAGACTGCCCATTTTCTTAGTAAGGTGGTTGTGAAAAACGCACTGAATGTAAGCAGCTGCTGCTCTAGCATGGAGGAGCCAAGGTTTTTATTTATGTGAAACCTAATGTGAAGCCTAGCCTTGTGGAGAAAAGAACTTCAACGATACAAGCCACTGCAGGACTAGTTTTCTTACCCTCCTGCACTGAAAGTCTAAGCTGGAGTACCTATAGCAAAAAGGAGAGTGAGCTGAGCACGAGGTTCCCACGCAAAAGAATTCCTAGAGAGTTTGCAGACTGAGCGCTCCTCTATTGGACATAAACCAACAGTGGAAAGAGAGATGATGCTGAATTTGTCTCAGCTCTAAGGTGTGTAGGAAGAAACGGCTTCTTATGCTGGGAACCTGGTCCTAAAATACGCATGGAACAGATGATAGCTGAGATAACTATAGTTCAGCATTATAGCTGGTCCCTTTAAAGTGAAAGAATTGCTGACTAAGTCGTATAGCAGGAGACTAAAAGTAGCAGTTGCTTGCCTGTGCCAACACACAAATTACTCAATAGAAGCTCAAAGCTGTGATTTTGAAAAAAACCTTTTATTCAAAAGTAGCGAAAACACTGGGAAAAAAGTATAAGTTAACCATTTGTCAGTGTGTCTAAGAAGCATAAAGTAGATTCCTGCAGTTGTATACAGTAGCTCCAACACTTAACGACGTAATTTGCAAGACTCTACCTTCTTTCAGGCCACTTGAAGACGGCTGCAGATACAAGAAGGCTGCTCAGATGAGTTACAGCAGTCGCTCATAGAACAGGAGATAGGCTTGTGAGCTCAGCACTTTTGCTGCAGACACGGCTTGCACGTGGGTATCGCTGATGTGGAACCACTGCCCTTTTACTGGTTCAGTGTCTAAAGCTGTGAAAGGAGGAATTGAGGAGCTAAAGTTATTACAAAGAATTGAAGCAATCAACCCTGTTACTGTTCTGCAGTAAGACATAATTTGTAAAATATTTCTCACTGTTTACCTTGAGGAGATTGTCCTCGAAGGACAAGATCAGAGAGATGGTTGTTCATACTTCTCATTTTAGCATAAGCAGTGTAGTGCCCAGACCTCATTGTTCCACTGTGTTCAACAACTCCATAGAGAGAGTACAGTACTTTCGTATTCCCTTCAGCCACGTTCTGTAGAAGCAAAAGTTCAGGTATGTCAGTCAGGTACTGGCTTTTGAACGAGGCTAGAATGTAAACTCTTTGCGTGGCTGGGATTTGTCTGCTGATGAAAGGGAAGCTGGTCATTACGGATTCATGCAAGCGCTACAGCTACGATCAGTGGAAGTACACTGACTCAAGTACAAGTTGCACTTGTAAGTACCATCACACAAAATAACTGAAGCTTGACAAGCGTACAAGGATGCTGCTAAGCAGCTTAATTGCAAAAGCACATCAGAACACGGGGAAAGGACAATCTGACCGTTTTCCCACTTACTTTACATTTAGCTGTACAGAAAGGAGCCAAGTCTATCACTTCTGGAAACTTAATGTGTCTGTTAACCTTCCGTAGATTAAATCCAGCCTTAAACAGAGAGAGCAGAGGAAAATCCCATAGTGTTAAGTGCTTAGGTACTATGCTTAGACACTAAATGTTTCAAGTTAAAGTTTCCACAATACAAAGTCAGTTTTACATTGCACAAAATTGGGAAAAAGCAATGTGCTTGCTCGTTTGGGGTTGGGTTTTTTTTTGTTTGTTTGCTTTTTTTGTTTGTTTGTTTGTTTTTTTTTCCCCCCTCCTCTAACACCCAAGGTTTTCCAGCATGATCTCCTTGCCTCCATATGCTGCACTGGAGCACGAGTTACAACGGCTTCTTCAACTCACTCTTATGGTAACTTAACGGTAGCAAAAGTGGAAAAAGTATCAGCTCTAATGTACTTAAGGAACTATGAGGACATCTTTTCCTTCTCAGATACCATAGTAAGCCTGAGGATCTAATTTTATATCGTCAAAACCCATGTAACAACTTCTACGCCCACCTTACTCAAATAATCTCCCAGTATCAAACTGGAAAAACAAAAGGAGATGGCAGGTGTTATTTCCTTAATCATGTTATGGTCTCTTGGAATAGGCTACACAGTTTGATTTTCTCTGTGGAATTGCTTTTTGTCTACTTAGTCACCTCCCTTATTTTTCAAGTATTTTGACCAAAATGCTCAACAGCTTTAAATTTAGAAAAGGCAATACTGTCTCCCATTGAAAAGCTAAAGCCTTAAGTTAAAAATTGTCCTACAATTTGGAAAAAAAGGGTAAGCCACTTTACTTTGGTGTCTGTAAGACTGAAGTTGCAGTGCTTTCCATTCATCCTTTTTTCCCCTTCACCCTCAGTAAGGCTCAGAAACCTGTCTTTTCCAATTTTACTGATCTATTTGTTACATTCATTTAGTAAGGGATCCTATGCCATCTGTACCGAAATGTAAGAGACCATGAACTGCTGTAAACAGCAGGAAACAAACAATGCTAAGATACTGCTTAATACAGTGAGCAGTAACAATAGTGAGGGAATATATTGCAAATAAGCTCACAAAACAGTGTATTCCAGGTAACTAATAGAATAGTCTTTCAGGAAAACACACCCCAACCCCTCAGAGACTACAAAAACCAACACTGCACACCAATGCCTTCCAAACCTTGGGGAAAAAAACTAACACAAAAGAGTCTTGCAGAAAATGAAAATACACTAACGTTAGTTTTAAGTTAAGCTAGTATTATGTGTATATATACATATTAAACTGATACTACATACATACACGCACATTTTTGCAGTATCGGCCTGCTACTTACCTGCTGAAACCTCTTTAAGTGAAGAGTTAAAATTGGAGGAGCAAAAGAGATCAGCATCTGCTTTTTGGCATTAGTATAAACATACTTCTTTTCACCTGCAGAAAAGAAAAACCACCAACGATTAACATCTAAACAAATGTTGCATCAAAATTTATTTTCACTATTTAGACTGTTATAAATGCCATCTACTACAGCAACTGAGAAACTGAACATTCCCCTTTACCATGATGAACCATACAACAGCTGCCATCTTGCAGATCCCATCCCACAAAAGTAATGGCTCACACCACGTCTCAGTGGTGTCAGCACAAGCAGGGTGAATTCTTGCTTGCTCTCTACAACTCTCAGAAACTGCATGTGGCTTTTATCAGCCTTTTGAGCAAACATCAACATGATTCCCCTGTGACTGGAATTTTCACATTTGAGGGAAGAGCAGAAAAGTTACCTGCTAAATCCCCGTAATGAATTTTTAGATAGAAATACCTTTTCCCCTCCCCCCCAAACCCACCCCTCTTTGCTCACTCCTTTTTTTCAGTCCTGCAGTATTCTGTACCCAAGCTTGTAAGCCTACTATTCTCAGTGAAGAACTTGTATTAATCTCCATGGAAGAGGCTCTTACAACCTACTCGCTGAACGCTA